TCTCTTCTCTTCTCTTCTCTTCTCTTCTCTTCTCTTCTCTTCTCTTCCCTCTCCTCTCCTCTCCTCTCCTCTCCTCTCCTCTCCTCTCCTCTCCTCTCCTCTCCTCTCCTCTCCTCTCCTCTCCTCTCCTCTCCTCTCTGTTTCTCTCTCTCCTTCTGGATTTCTCTGTGTAGCCACAGCTGTCCTGGAAACTCCCTCTGTACACTAGGCTGGATTCAAACTCAGAGATCTGCTTGCTTTTACCTCTCCAGTTCAGGATTAAAGGGGAGCAGCACTACATTCCAGTGTTCATTTTTGTAAGGGTGTGGACCCTGGTACATTACATTGCCCATACCTCCAGGAATGGCCACAATGTCATTCATAAATAGCACCAATTGGACCCACTGAGTTAATAATAAAAAGAATTTTCAAAGCCATGAGATATAGAGGGAGTTGTGTTGGTGGATCTTTGGGATAGTTGAGAGTATGATGTGTGTAGAGCAGTGGGTAAGATCAGGATATATTATATTCATATATAAGATGGTTAAAAAACAGATAAAATATTATTTAAAAAACAAATTAATTTAAATTAAACATCAAGATATAAATTAATGTGCTTTGACTTACCTATCCCTGATTTTCCTTGGACAGGTGTCTCAAAGAGAGGAAACATGGAAAATAATATTATTTTAATATATCAACATTATTTTAAAGTAATATATTATTTTAATATAATAATATTATGTTAAAATACTATATTATACTAATATTACATATGAACAGTAATATTATGTTAAAGTACTATATTATACTAATATTATTACATATGAACAGTTTTCATAAAATGCAGATAAAATATAGGTTTTGAACAGGATATCTGAAAAGAGGAACTTAGGGTTGGGTTTCATTTTAGGTGGATTTTATGTGTGTGGATCTGTCTGGATGGTTCATTGGTGTGTCCTTACTCACCTGAGGGACATATGTGCACCCATCTATGTATAGGTTAGTGGTTGGATTTTTAACATCTTCCTAATTTATTATACACATTATTATTTTTGAGACAAGATCTTTCAGATAGATCTGTGGCCAGAAATCTACAGGGTTCCTCCTGTTCCCCACCCCTTCTCGGCTCTGGTGTTCCTTAGCTTTCTAAATGGATACTAGGACCAAACTTGAGTCCTTATGCTTGTGTGCACTTTGCCCACTAAAACATGTTCCCAAAATCTTAGATACTTAAAAAAAGATTTGTTATAAAAATGTAAGATGTTCAGGGCAGCTTTATTCATAATAGTCAGAATCTTTAAACAAACCAGATGTTCCTCAACTGAGGAACGGATACAGAAATTGTGATACATTTACAGAATGGAATACTACTCAGCAATTAAAAAAAAAAGGAAATCATGAAATTTGCAGATAAATGGTAGGATCTAGAAAAGATCATCCTGAGTGAGGTAACCCAGAATCAGAAAGACACACATGGTATATACTCAATTATAAGTGGATATTAGACATATAATATAGGATAAACATATTAAAATCTGTATACCTAAAGAAACTAAGCAAGAAGGAGGACCCTGGGTAAGATGCTCAATCCTCATTCAGAAAGGCAAACAGGATAGACATTGGAAGAGGGAGAAAAACAGAGAATAAGACAGGAGCTTATCACAGAGGGCCTCTGAAAGACTGTACCCAGCAGGGTATCAAAACAGATGCTGAGAGTCATAGCCAAACTTTGGACAGAGTGCAGGGAATCTTATGAATGAAGGGAAAGATAGAAAGACCTGGAGGGGACAGGAGCTCCACAAGGAGAACAGCAGAACCAAAAAAATCTGGTATCTTCTGAGACTGATATTCCAACCAAGGACCATGCATGGAGATATCCCAGATCCTCTGCACAGATGTAGCCCATGGCAACTCATTCTCCAAGTGGGCTCCCTAGTAAGGGGAGCAGGGTCTGTCTCTGACATGAATTCATTGGCTGGCTCTTTGATCACTTGCCCTTGAAGGGGGGCAACCCTACCAGTCCACAGAGGAGGACAATGCAGCCAGCTCTGATGAGACCTGATAGGCTAGGGTCAGAGGGCAGTGGAGGAGGGCCTCCCCAATCAGTGAACTTAGAGAGGGGCATGGAAAGAGATGAGGGATGGAGGGCAGGATTGAGAGGGAAAGAGGGAGGGGGCTATAGCTGGGATACAAAGTGAATATTTTGTAATAAATAAAAAATAAATTAAAAAACTAAAAAAAGCAATGTAAGGAAGTTACACACACAGGTTTCTATTTTACCTGTGTCCAGGACACGTATTACATTTTCATCCTCAATGCCAATTTCATCCACCAAGTCCATGTACTGCGTCATCTCATCCTTAGTCAGTTGATTGGCTTTTGCTGTGTTTCATGGTGTATAAGGAGGAAGATGTCACAACATTAGCATCCAGGACATTAATAAAATATTTGCCAATGCTTATTCTAGTAAAAACTGCCAAAACACAAGATCACTCCCATTTCCTTCAATATATTTGCAGCATGGAACTGCATCTTTCTCATGAGAAATGAAAGTAGTGGGTGGATCACAATGTATAATATATCATGATTCCTATTTTTGTAACATTGACTTTTTGTGTGGATTTGAGCATACAGAACACATATACAGCCTCCAAATCAATTCCAGAAAACTATGATTGATACTTAGTGTTTTTACTATTATAACTGTATGTCATTATGTTGTTTCTGTTTATATTCTTGAATCCATTCCTAAGGGTTCTGGATGCTTCCTCAGATGACAGAACCAATTGGTCTAAACTCATCATAAAGATGAGGGGAATGAATTTTGGCTTACTGGTTAAGAATGCTTAAGGACCCGCATTCAGCTCCCAGCTCCCGCATGGTGGTGCTCAGCCACTTGTAAGCCCAGCTCCAGGGGATCTGATGCCATCTTGTGGCCATTGTATGCACCAGGCACACATAAAGTGCACATACATGCAGCTAAATAACTAGTACACATAAAGCAAAACCCCAAACTCAGCTACTGAGGAACAAGTCTCCATGAAATACAATCTCTTCCTATTAATTTCAACAAAAATTAATTCTGCCTTTGATAACAGAGTTGTAGAATTTGTCAGTTCCAAAGAATTTGGATGTACGAAAAACTGAATTTTGTGGACATGTCTCAGTAGAGTCAGAACTCATGTTATGTGATAATTCTGACTTAAAAGTCAGAAGTTCTAAAGATTGCCAGAAACAACAGCTGAAATTCAGGGTTTGCAGTTGACATAAATTCAATCAACAAACACATTTAATGTGGTCAAGTAATATATCAATTCTTGCTTTCTTAGAAGTGGAAATCCAGGATTACAGTGCCATGAGATATATGATGTATGGTTGATATATAATTCAGAAATGCTGAAAAAGATGTGTGGGAATTTCATTAAAACCTTCTAGGTCCCAACAGTAGAAACAAATATTTATTAATTTGCAACAAATAAACTCTCAATATCCCAATTTTCTTGTTCAATATTCTGATCAAATGGTTTGACAAAAGCAATTTATGGAAGGAAAGGGTTTATTTCTGCAGTACTTTTCCAGTCATAGCACCTTGAATTGGGGGAATTCCAGTAGGAGAAATTTGGAGGAGCTGACACACCATGTCTATAGTGAGGAACAGACAGCAAAGAATGCATGCATGTGTGCTTGCATTTATCCAGCTTTCTCCAGTCTGATACAGTTTAGGATGAACTGTCCAGGGAATGCTGCTCATGTCAGTATGCAGAGCATCCTATATCAATCACCATTCAGTATCCTTCCCCAGACATGCCCACAGGCTGGTCTGATGAGAGAAATAGCCTCCATAAGGCCCTTCCCAGAGGATGCTGAGCTTTGTCTGCTGAAAGTTGAAGCTCACAGCACATCTTCTTGCTAGGCAATGATTCCAACCACAGTGGGCAGAGCCTTCTTATGTCAATCATCAATAAATACAAGCCCACAGGCCAGTCTTCTGTGGGAAATTTCCTACTGAGACCCTTCCCAGGGGATTGTGTCTTGTGACAAGTTGGTACTCAAAGCTAACCACCACAGCATCAGTGGTTTATCAACATAAAGAACAAAATCAGACACACAAACACACTGCACAGAGATGAGCATGAACCCTCTCCTTGAACTATACACTCAGGTGATAAGTTCCATGTGTGGCACTCACCCAAAACTCCAGCCACTCGCGTGACTTTATTTCTCTTGTCCTTGTTAAAATAATGAAACAGCAATATCTTATCATTCACCATCTTTACCATGAATGTTACTTTTCCGTCATCTGAGATAGATAAGAAATACATATGAAGTCAACAAAATGATTGTCGAGGCTCATCCTAACTGCACCCTTATGAATGGATACATAGTCTGCCCCACAATATTCTTCTCCATGTGTCAAAATCTGTCAAAACAGACAGGGGATTAAGGAAGCAAGTGTATAATCCAGCTTTAAGATATGAAAAATATCTTGTATCAGTTACTTAGAAATATAGAAACTATGTTAATTTGGGATAGTGGTGTTCCTGATACTTGGATGTGTATAGGTGCATAGTAGGTGGCATACTGCAATATTTTACTTGCTGAAGACAGCTCTGTATGACTTTATGTATACACAAACATGTATATATATGTATATACATTTTCATGGATCCTATTACATTTAATGGTGGAATTGTTTATACATACATACATATTGAGGAAAGCTGTATGGTTTATACATATATGTACATATACTGGCACTTTCATGGATCCTATTACATGTAATGGTGGAATTGTCTATACGTATATATGTACATATACATATATATACAGATATATACATATACATATATACATTCATATATATACAATGTGTATATATGTATATATACATTGGGGAATGCTGTATGATAATATATATATGCATATACCTACCTATATACATATATATATACACATATATATACATACGTATATATATATGGAGGTATTTTCATGGATCTGATTTTCATGTAGTGGTGTAATTACCTAGCTTTACTAATTCTTCCTCAGACACATGACAGATAAACAAGATAAGGTGCCACATAGCAATTTACTCCAAACTGGGACTTTCTTGGATGCTCATAAAATAAATAAATCACAAGTCTTAGGACAATTTTGGGAATAACAACTTTCAGTAGGCCCCTCCACAAAGTTATGGGAAACAATGAACAATCTCCAAAAAAGAGACTTTCTGAAGAGCTCAGCTGCCTGTAAGCCTTACACAAAGCTCCAGGAATACAGCTTTCATGAGTGTCACCAAGCTGAAGTAAGCTCTTCAGGAATGCAACCATATTTGAGTCACAGATGCTCTTGTAAATGACTCCAATACACTTACTGGTTAACTAACATTTCTTCTTATAAAAGGGAAGGGGTAGGCACAAGACCCTCTGTAGCAACATGATGATGTTCCTCCTCATGTCAGTGGAAAGTCATTTTCCTTCTGAGACAGGTCTCACTATGTAGCCTGAAACTTGTTGTGCAGAATGGGCTGGCCTCACACTAAATTACATAACATACAAGAGAGAATGGGACTCTTTGCCTGGGTATCTGTTTGTGAGTTGAGTCTGCTCCTGTATTTGAGTCCAATAAACTCACTGAAAATACAAGGCAGAGTTGGTGATGTGTTTGGCCTATCAGTATTATTGTGTTGGGTTAAAAAGACCGCTTATGGTGGAATAGAAAATAGTGAAAGTCTCCTTACCACCTGTTTCACGACAAATGAAACTGATACCTTTATTATTTCTAAATGGATCTTGGTGTATTTTAGGTCATATTCCTGTCCAAACTGAAAAATAGGAGTATTCATGAAGATTATATTTACATATTGTAAATTATTTTCCCCAATAAAATTACAAAATTTAAATCAGTCATTATTCCATATACAAGATTTATGTTTGAAAATTTCTGGGAGTCATATTAATCTATGATAAACCTTCATTTCTATTTTGCATCAAGTTTTTTTTTTTAATGCTCAAATCATTTTGATCACTTTAACCATTCTTAGACTCCTGTCTGTGATTTAGTTTAGGCCTAAAGTTACAGGAGGGAAGTGTGCTTGGTACAAACACACACTAAATAAAAGTTTTTTTTAAAGTCATTAACAAACAAACAAACAAACAAACAAACCATATCATAGTCATATTAGATCCAAAATGACTAGGAAGAAAATGAACCTGCTTTCTTCGAGATTGCACCTGTAATTTGTATAAATGATTGCATTGGAGAAATGTAGAAATTCAGATATGAAAAATTCAACTAAGTCCATGAATTAAAACAAAACAAAACAAAAATATTCACCCTGGCATCATCTACTCACAGTCTGCCTGGTAAAATTCTTGCCTTTTTCTTCCAATGATTTCTTGCTGTTGGCAGTTGGATCCTCTCCTGAAAAACAAATGAATGGATGTTGTCTTATTGTGAATCACTTCAGGGTCATGATTCCACATTAATGGCAGGAGAGTTTAATGCAAACCACATTTTCCTCTGTAGATCTTTCATAAAAATATGTTGTTGTAGGACATTGTCCCTACATATAATCCATAGCACCCTTAGATACCATCAATCACCCTGTTAGGGGGTTTTAGGTGTCTTTGATAGGGCAGAGTCAGTTCCTCTGTGTGATACCTGTTGCCTATTCTGATCCCTGACTAATGAATGACTGCAAAACCTTGATCTTCCTGCCTCCACACATCAAGTGCTGGAATGATGAGAATGTAGGACCACACCAACGTGCTGATAATGTAGCCCTGGGCTCTGGCTTATGCTGGGTAATCACTCTCTTAGCACAGGGGTATCCCCAGCACATAATAACAACTATTGATAAAAATCCCTGAAGTATTGAACAAATATTCTATCCCAATCTGAAATGAGAAATGCCTGTAGACATTAAGTTAAAAGAGGACAAGCTCTCCTGGTGCAGAGCATATTGCAGTGTCTTCTATACACTGTACTCCAGCTTCCATATTTATAATCATGGTTTTCTTTTGCCTTTCTCATAAATCTCACCAATCTTATAGGTTTTATAACAGAAATTGCTTTCTGCATTTAAATGGCTTACAATTGCTTTCTGAGAAGATTTAAATTGGGGTGTGCATCGACAAATCAGGAGATCTTTAGAGTCAGAGGCATGGTCATGTATTCAGATCTGTATCCACTCACCAGAGGTCCATGTCATCAGTAGTGACAGCCACAGCTTAGGCTTGTCTTTATGGTTTTAAAACATGGAAATAACTGGGCTGAAGATATGGCTCAGTCATTAAAGGTTAAATTCACAACCACATAATAATAATAAAAAGAAATGAGAATAACAGTTTAGACCAGGGGTGTATCTCTATGAAGCCCATTGAAGGCCTTTGGATCCATTCTTTTTGCTTTAAAAAAATCACTCGTGTCTGGAATGGTGTTCCCTCCAGCACTGTTCTTTTTGCTCAGAATTTTTTTTTTTGGATCCCTTGGGGTCTTTTTTGGGGCCATATGAATTTTAAGGTATCTTTTATTGTTCCCTGAAGAAAAGCCCTCCCTCCGCATTGGTTTCTGAATACCCAGTGTTTGCTGTCAAATCATTTATATAAATATAAACTATATATATATAAACTTTATATGGAATTAACAGGATGTATCTATATATTTAATATTGTACATGAACAATTAAAGAAAAGGGAGCCTAGAATTTGAAAGAACCCAAAGGAAGAGGGTATTTGGGAAGGGTTGAAGGGAGAAAGGAAAAGGGGAATGATGTAATTCTGCTTTATTTTCAAAAGTGTATTTATGAATTAAAAATTTTATTTCTCCTTCAACAACATGTTAGTATATATACCTACTTGATTTTGAGCTATTAGCTTTTAAAATAATTTTAGACATGCTAAGTTTAAACACCAAGTCAACCTCGGTGGCATCTCTTGTCTTCCCAATAGTTGGCAGACTGATGCAGAAGGATAGGTTCCCTGTAATTCTGAGAAAAATAATTAAAAAATAAAAATAAATAAAAACATAAAATATAGGCTGGGTGTGGTAGTACACATTTTTGACCCCAGCACCCCAGAGGAAGAGGCAGGTAGAGAGAATTTGAAGCCAGACAGGGCTGTAAAACGAGAATCTATTATATACATACATATACATATACATATACATATACATATACATATACATATACA